ATACTACTTTACACTGTGCTGTACAAACATCTGACTGGAGTGACATTATGTTCTGATGATCTGTTTCATTTCATGTATATTTAATTGTTTTGGAAAACTGAACTGATTACTTGTATTCGGCGAGTGGACATTATTAAACTAAAATGATTTTATAAAATTCTATGTTTGTAATCATATTGTCAATGTGAATGTATAACACAAATCCAATCGCACTACTCCACACACACACACGTGTGACACTACTCACACACACACACACACGTGTGACAGTGTTGGCATCAACTGATGTACTCGTACATGTTGTTCACTATGTTGTGTGAACTAATTAGGAAAGTCCAATACTGCTGGGAGTGTCTGTTAAATAACCTAGTTGTATGACATCGGAGAGATGGTGACATGACAAGTATATGGGATTATATTTGTACGGGGTTTTTTCCAGCAACGGTACGGATGTTGATGATATTGAATCAGTTGCAATAATGTTGCAGTCTGCGCCCGGCGACAGTGTGGGCGAGGTGGGCGGCGGACTGTTTGAGTTCGAGGAGCCACTTGAGATGGATGACGAGCCCATCTCCAAGCCCACCATCAAACTCAACGGAGTGCGGGTACGTACTGTGCTAGTACCTAAAACAATAGTGCAGGTAGTACATACAATATAAAGACAATGCTGACTGGTAGCAGTGCGGTTACAGTACTGAGGCTGACTGACCAGTGGCTACTGATAGCTATGTAACAGTTCAATCTCTGCAGGTGTTGGAGTCGGACGTGGTGTACGCTAGTGTGAGTGCAGCGCCCCCTGTAGTGTACTAACGTGTACTATGATTAATATTGAATGTGTACATGTTTGTTAGTTTGAAACGTAAACATGGAGTGGGAACTGGCTACGTCGCAAGTAACGATATTTAATTTGATATGAATCTTGTTTGTCGTCACCCTACTCCTTGTGCAGAGAGAATAACACTTACTGTATGTTGTGTTTACTCGCCCATCCCCCGCACTAACGTCTAATGAGTCAGTCAGTCAGTCAGTCAGTAATATATTACAATGTCGTAGGCTCGCGTGGACCGCGTGCACGTGGACGGTCTGAACCGCACCAAGGACGACATCATCCGCAGCACTGTCGACGACCTGTTCCACGCCACCGACTTCGAGGATGTCATCCTGCGAGCACACAAGGTGACCCAAGTCTACCATCGTCGTAAACACTACTTGTACCACACGACCTCCGCGTTGTGGACATCTTCAGTCATCCATGACGAGCAGCTCGCGTCCACTGCAGGGCGATGAACCTCCTCCACGCTAGAGGGAATCTAAAACGAAGAGATCGCAATCTACAACAATCGTGTTTGCCATTGTGGCTGCCTAGTTTCTGTTATATAGTCCTTTAGTCAGGTATACGAACGATACCCACAGAAAGAGTACGGGTGTCAACCCTACGGTCACCGCGTGGCTTAAACAAGACATTATTTCATGAAAATGGCACATAACACGATGTATGCGTGCGTGTAGGTGCGGCGCGCTCTGGACGCGATGGGCTGCTTCCGCGACATCGGCGTGTTCATCGACGTGTCGTCCGGGCCCGGCGCCACGCCCGAGGGACTCGAGGTATACTCCGCGTGCACTGGGAGGCGCGGCCCATACATTATACATACATTATTATATCAATTCAGTCTATAACATAGAATATAATACTTATTGATTGATCGCATGGCTGGCGCGGTGGTTCGATTCCCGCGCACAGCAACTCTTTGTGTGCTCCGCAAATTGTTCAACATCTGCGACAGGAGAGAGACCTCGTGTGGGGCGAAATTAAAAAAATAATAAAAGAACAAAATAAATTATATAACAAGTGTTTGCAACGGTCCGTGCCGGCCAGTGGCACTGACCGGCACGGACCGACTGACACCGTGGCTGGTGCGGCGGGTGCAGGTGACGTTCCAGGTGCGCGAGCTGTCGCGCGTCGTGGGCGGCATCAACACCACCGTCAGCGAGAACGAGGGGAACCTGGTGCTCGGTGAGACATATACCTACATACGTCGTACGTACAGTATACCGGGCGGGAGACACCGCGGGCTGCGGACACTCGCTACACCTCCTGGGGGTTGAAGGAAAATGTGCTTCTAAAGTAAAACTGTGTAATAGTTTACAAATAAGTTTATTTCTGAGATCAAATATATCAATAGCATTCGCCATTCAGACGTACGGTAGACTACCTACCGTAGATAGAAAAAAACATAGCTCAATACAAATAAAGACAGCGCCATGTATAGTGGCGAGAATATTTTCATAGCATATGGGGTTCACCAGAAACAATTCTTTCATATCTCATCTAGTTCTCTTGTTTGTACACGCTGACCTCGGAAACTATTAGTCCGATTTAAAAAATATTTTTGGGTTAGATAATGCATTTATCGAAGATGGCTATAGGCGCTAAATATACACACGATAAATTATTTCCAAATTCTCGAAAGGCCAATAACGCAATTGTTACTCCTGTGACTATTGGTTGTGTTTAAGCGGGGCCGATTGTTATTGGTGCTTGATGCAGGCGTGAAGATGCCGAACGTGCTGGGCCGCGGCGAGCGTATAGCCGCGGAGTACAGCATGGGCTACCGCTCGTCGTCCAACTTCAGCGTGGCGGCGACCAAGCCGTTCCCCCAGAAGCCGCTGGTGCCAGTGCTGACGGGCACGGTGTACCAGCAGAACCACGAGTACCCGTGGTCCGGCTACAGACTGCTGGACCGCGGCGCGCTGCTCGACATCGCCTTCAAGACGTCGCCCGCAGTGTGTATCCCTATATTGTGTGAGTATAACACCGTCCGTGGTGGCCGGCACTGAGCAGTGTATCCGTTGTCCAGACGCACCACAACGTGCAGTGGGAGGGCCTGGTCCGCGACACCTCCGTGCTCAGCAAGACGACGTCGTTCAAGGTCCGCGAGAGCAGCGGTGAGTACTGGCTCTTGGCTGGCGACGGGGCGATGTAGAGCGCGTGGCTGACGCAGTGCGCAGGTCCGCAGATGAAGTCCATCCTGCGGCACGTGGTGAGCGTGGACCACCGCGACGAGGCCATGTTCCCGACGCGCGGCACGTGGGTGCAGTTCACCAGCGAGGTGGCGGGGCTGGGCGGCGGCGTGGCGCACGTGCGCACGGAGCTGCTGGCGCAGGCCAACCGGCGCCTGGCGCGCGACCTGGTGCTGCAGGCCGCGGCGGCGCTGGGCGTGCTGCACGACGTGTTCGGCACGGAGCTGGCCGACCACTTCTTCCTGGGCGGGCCCACGTCGCTGCGCGGCTTCCGCCAGCGCGGCGTGGGCCCGCACTGCGAGGGCCAGGCCACGGGCGGCCGCCTATACTGGGCCGCCGGCCTGCATCTCTACGCGCCGCTTCCCTTCCAGGTCACGTGTTGCGCTCACTCTACTAATATTATACAAAACGACGGTTTGTTTAGTATACAGTGACATACATATAATACAATGCATGTACTTGCAGGGCTCTCGCACAGGCCTGGCGTCCTTGTTCCGCTCGCACCTGTTCGCTAACGCGGGCTGCCTCGCCATGCCAGGTCAGTACTGTACCTACTATACTCGTTATGTCGCCCGCGGATTGTAAAAACCGTATTATTGTGGTACGACATTTGGTTTGTTTAAAGACCAGTTCAATAAACAAAAAATATCACATTATATTTTAATACGGTCCAGCTACATAGCGCATTGAATATAATGTTAAATAGTTTCAGAAATATCTTTTTTTTTTTTCAAATGTTTGACTGACCATCTGACGTAAGTTCCACCGCTGTAGGACCAGCGGATGATTTTGTTTCTACAACATATTATGTCTGCTATAAATTTGGCAAGATTCCAATCGAGAGGAAATTCTTAAAAAAATATATGTTTGGGCTGCCACTGCTCAACCCACCATCGGCGTTGCTGTTGACATCCATAAAGCTCCATAATATAATACTCTCAAGCATTGTACAAGTTACCGACTGAGAGGAAATGACTGACAAAGACTATCGCAGCGGTTCCTATTAGTCATACATAGCGTAAAGATTTTAACCTTCCTTGTATAGAGAACTCAGGCCTAGAGTCTCTGGAGTCTCTAAAGCTGGTTCGCGTGTCGGTGGGAGCCGGGGTGGTCGTGAGACTGGGGCGCGGCGCGAGACTGGAGCTGAACTACGCGGTGCCGTTGAGGGCGCAGCCCCACGACGTGCACGCGCCCGGGATACAGTTCGGGGTCGGCGCCAACTTCCTCTAGGACACTACACGAGTGAGTCGAACTACTCACTACATATAATACTATACTATATACTACACAGCGACTACTACAGCAGTGTGTTTACACTCCAATATAACGACATCGCACTAGATTTGTTGCGACTTTTCTAAAGCTTTCGATAGAGAACACAACGAAGTTTCCATAATATAATGAATCTTACCTAACTCAACAATGTTTATGTCTCCCAGTATGTCGCACTTGAGTAAATGATCACTGAGTTACTTCTACGATCTCAATTTGCAATATGGTGTGTATGGTGTTCCTCAGGGCACAGTAATGGGTCCACTCGTTATTAATTCATGTTTTTTTATTAAAAATAGTAATGTGTGTCTTTGTGTTGCCAGGTCCCACACCCGGCCCGAAGACGAGCGCAGGTCGCGCGCGTGTATGTGAAGTAATTTGTAAATAGTAGCAACATCAAGTGTCGTATTATTTAATTGTTTGTGCGTAATAAATATCTTGTTACATTATGTCGACTTGTATTACTTTGTACCCACACTGCACTCACCGCGGAGCCATCCACGACCATCACACATCTACTACTAACTTAAATATGTAATAGAAATGACATCTGACAAAGTAAATATTACTTAAATAGTACACGCAACAATATGTCACCTGCTTACACACTAAACTATTTAAATGATAATAAAGAAAATTAACCAACGCGAATCTGGTCTCATTATCGTTCCTTAGTACGACACCCACGGGATTAATAGTGGTGGTAAACTGGTAACAAAGGTATTGCTCTCCGCTACTAGGAATATAAAGCCTCCACTACTCCATACTACAGTCACTAACATAGTTCCGACATACAGTGCGCAGTGTCGCCTGTGTCGCGTGAGCACGCGATACATTAGCATACACGCGGCGATATAACGCGCCGCCAGCGCCCGGCGCCCTCACTCCGCCGCCTGCACCGCGAGCACGGACGGGCACAGACGTGCACAACTTCCGTATTGCGCTCAGTATATACACATTTGAAATATTTATATAGTAGACATCAGCACGAGTCCTGCACTACTGTTATAGGAGTCTGAAACATTGTTAGACAGTCGGACACGGACAAGTATACTAGCTGTGCACTGCGGGCCGACGTGTTCACTACCCGCGGGAGCTCGTCGTTACATTTGCAAGAACTGAGGTGAGTGCTTGTCATTCATTTTCCAATATATACGTGCGACAGTGGAGTACTTCAACGATCCCTGGGGCGATCAGTTTCAGGAAAATGTTCAGTTTATAACACGGAGTATGGAGTGTGGCCTCGCATGTAGCAACGGCAAGGCTCAGCCCTTGTTACATACGAGACTAACATCTTATCAGTTCAAAAGTGAGAGTAGTCGTAGTTTCGGGAATTAGCGCGTTCAAATGAGTGCTCAATTTTTTCACCTTGTCTGTGCTTCTTCGCTACATAACTTTCTCGGGTATCGAATTCGGGACCAGAAGCAATGTCTTGTAACTTCGTCCCTCCAATTGTCCATTCTCTTCCATTATCTACACCTACCTAATTGTAGTACCCAAAGACAATTAAATTGTACAATTAAGTAAATTTATTTTAGTTGATGGTACTCTTTAGTCTTTACCCTCCTTACTTATAGTCGTGGTGGCTCGTAGGTTTAAGACGCCTCTCAAGCATGAGGGTGCAGGTTCGAAACCTACCAACGGCAAGTACCAACGTAATAAACGTAATTTTTTCCGAGTTATATGTACTTTCTAAGATTATCTAGACAGCACTGACAAACGGTAAAGGAAAACATCGTGAGGATAACCTAGGGTTATAATTTCTAATAATAAGTTTGAAATCACCAACCCACATTAAGCAAGCGTGGTGATTAATGCTCATACCTTCTCCGTGTAAGAAGAGGCTTTGCTCAGCAGTGGGCATATAGGCTGATGATGATGATGATGACTCCTTACCTACGTAATATAATACTTGCATATTGTGTGCTTCGTTCTCCCTGAAGGACACGCCCCTTGCAGAGTGCGACCTTGACGCCCACTTTGCATAATGTTGGCATTAGACGGCGACATTGTATCAGCGCGTCCTGCAGCGGTTGGTGGTGGAGTGTAGCCGCCCTCGTAGTAAGTACTCACTCGACACAACAATACAACTCGCTATCTGCTGCTCATCATCAGCCTATAAATGCCCACTGCTGACCAAAGGCCTCTTCTCACACGGAAAAGATTTGAGCATTAATCACCACGCTTGCTCAATGCAGGTTGGCGATTTCAAACTTATAATTAGAATTTATAAGCCCAGGTTTCCTCACGATGTTTTCTTTCACCGTTTGTCAGTGGCGTCTGAATGATTTTAGAAAGTACATATAATTCAGTAAAAGTCACATTGGTACTTGCAATTGGTAGGTTTCGAACCCGCACCCTCATGTATGAGAAGCGGACGTCTTAAACCTCCGGGCCACCACGACGACTCGCTGCTGGTACTCGGTCTGTGTGTCCGTTGCGGCTGAAATCAGTAACCGATCACAATCTCACTCTAAAATCGTCCGCTTGACGTAGATTACAGACACGAGCGCATTGCTAAGTGGAGAAAGCATTCATAGATTTTGGTTTGACGTCAGTTATTTATTACTCGCCAAGCGTGTAGGTTACAGCAACGGCTCTCGTACAGCCATCGTCCACCAGTGGAGTGGGAGTGCCCGCGTGTGAGAGGTTCCTATAATGTATGCAAACTTTCGTTTTCATATTTACAACTGAAGTGTCCTTACTACTTTATTACTTTATATGATTGTGCCATTAATCGTATACTATACATATATATATAGACGTAATATATAAGTACGTGTGACACTCGCGCGACCTTCACAATATTCAGTGACATTATTACAGTTATGCATAATATACACACACACACACACACAGACACAGACAAGGTGGCCAGTAAGTAGGTACTATGACTTCCTACTCGACTCCCTTGTGCAGATTGTTATTGGGTCCTACTTATGTTATGGATCCAGCCTTGAGCTTGCTCTCCGAGAGTTTATTTTCGTCAAAACGTTTAATTAGAGCTACACTTGTAAACAATCTTAAATACCTACCTAGTTGAATAGTAACAGTAGTGTAGTGTTAGTGTGGGTGTGTGTGTGTGTGTGTGTGAGTATCTCGCGGTTGTCTGAACCAATTTCGTTGCGGTTTCCAGAAAAGTGTTAGTTACACTAAGAGAAAGTATACCTAGGTATATGAAACTCACAAAGGTGAGAGTTAAATTCGCTTTTTCTAAACGTAATTTGTAAAAGAATTGTGTCATGTGTGCTGTCATTGAGTATTAACATTTAATAATACACAAACGTACACACGAACATATAGCTCCAACTAAGATCCTTCTTTTTTATTTTGAAGTCGGTTATAAAGGAATCTATTGCATTCCCAATATTCAGAACAGTGTAACATAATCCAACGTTATTATAAATGACACGTACACATTACATAGGAGCCTCCTACGTAGTGTCTCCCTAGTAAGCAGCCAGGTGGGGATGTATGTAGGTACGTGTCGGCTCACAGCCGACCTCTGACTCTATGCAACAACCAACAACAGTATGCAACACTTTGATTTCTTTAATGATTTTCTATGATTATAACAAATTACTGAATATTCAATATATTCAACGTCGGCTCGGTGCTAGTAATTATAATAAATATAAAACATTATTTACTTGTCTATAAAAAGAAGTCGCAGGTCAGGGAGCACACATGGACAATGTATGTTTATGTAATGAATCGACAACATGTAACATGCATTATATTATATTTAATTGTTATCATTACATTCTAATATTACAACTATATGTAGGTAGACTATGTAGTGTATAGTACGAAGTATGACTATGGGCCTCCTCTACATGAACGCGTAATTTCTACGTTTGACGGATGAGTAGGAGATCGCACTTCAGAGGATCAGATTCCTGAACTGACTGACTGACTGACTGACTGACTGTATTCTGGCGTCACCACCAGTTGATATATGCGGTCGGTCTGCAGGTGTTGCAGACAGGGCGGTATGTCGACAGAGCCGGGCGACGGGCCGCTGCTGCCCGGGTTCTACGCGGGCCGCGCCGTGCTCATCACGGGGGGCACCGGCTTCCTGGGCAAGGTAACACTATTGATGCAGTCTTGTATAATCATTCACAGCCCTCAATCAAAATTACAATTAATTCTGTGACTACTGTAATGGACAAGTTATCTTTGCATATTGTATCGCTACGAGGTCGTCATTTTACAAGCTGCTACGAAATCGCTACGAGAGCTACGAGAGCTACGAGAGCTACGCCACGTAGCAGGCACTACACATAGACATTTGTAACATAATCCAAATTGTTTGTATTATTGACTTTAGTCGTAGACACTCCTACAGAGTGTAGGTAAGTAGTTTCTATCAAAAACCAAGATTTTGGATTGAGATCTATCGATCTAATTTCAGCCGTTAGTCAAAATGAGTATTTGATAATAGTCCAATACATATTGTAAGGTACGAAGGCGCGTATGTTTGCAGGTGTTGATTGAGCGCCTGCTGTGGACATGCCCCGAGGTGGGGGAGGTCCACCTCCTGCTGCGAGACAAGCGAGGCCAGCCTCCGCGAGTACGACTCAACCAGCTCAAGCAGTCGCAGGTAACATCTGACACTTACCATCATTTTCTTCAATATGGAATAGGGGGCCTTCATTCATCAAAGAGTCCGATCAACTGATGGTAAGCAATCGGGACATCACACATGGACATCAAAGTCGAAGTCAAAGTTATTTATTGCAAACACCAAAGAAATGACTAGTGCGTTGACGGCCTTTTTAGAATTTGGGGATTGGAAAATGTGGGGGAGGGAGGATTGGGCCTCTAGTGATTTGAGTCATACGACGGAACATAACACTTTGGTTGTATCACGCCAATATGCTGTGACACCCTGGCACCACTCGGGGCAGCCCGATCAAGCCGGCCAGGAAACTGTACCAAACGGTCGACATGATGTGGCGCCATCTGCGAGTTGACTCTGGAAATATATAATGCCATTGTACGGCAGGCGTTCGACAATGTACGCGCGCACTGCCCGGGACAGCTGGACAAGCTGCGCGTCGTATGCGGGGACGTCGCGCAGCCGCGCCTCGGCCTGGACGACGCCGCACTGCTGCAGCTGCGGGAGGCGAGTTGTATCTTATATTATTCCTATGTATTTCGGTAACGCACTATGTACAATGATAAGTACAAGGATTTGTGCAATTTATCAGCCGAACCGAAAAAACTTGACGACGACCGCATCCCCGGTTGCGTGCGATATCTATGCTAGTAATGCGTCAACATAATATACGTAGTTGTGTCCCTACACGGATGTGGATTACAGGAGACCGCTGTTGTTTGATAACTGTTATTAGCTATTACGACTGCCCCAGGAAGAGAAGCAGTGGTGATAAATATTAAATGTTGCTTCCATGCACAGGTGTCGCTGGTGTTCCACAGCGCGGCCACGGTTAAGTTCTGGGAGAGCTTGGAGACGGCGCTGCACCAGAACGTCACCTCCGTCGTTGCGCTGATGGAGCTCTGCGACCAGCTGCCCCGGCTCGAGGTCAGTGGGATGATGCCAGCCTTTATTTATAGAATGGGTCGGTAAACAAGTAGACGGAACACCTGATGGTAAACAAGCGACATCTTCCATTGATACTCTCAGCACCAAAGCAATTAAACAGGCGTTGTCGGCTTTTTGAAGATTTGAAGATTCGGGAATTGGGTCTTGGGGGGAGGAGTGAGGCTCCGCTAACCTTGTTTTACACCGGTATCCTGTTGGTCTCTCGGCCACAGCGCTGCCCGAGGCCAGGGCACGTAGCTCTGACAGTGTTTGTACGTCGGGCAGGCGCTGGTGCACGTGTCGACGGCGTACAGTAACGCGGAGCGGCGCCACATCGAGGAGCGCGTGTACGAGGCGCCGGCGCAGCTGGCCGGGCTGCGCGCCATGCTGGACGCGCTGCCGCCCTCGCTGCTCGACGACCTCACGGCCAGGTACCGCGCCGCGCCATACTTTATCAGCTGCTCTGTAACCCTCCATCACTCCGTAATCATGAGGGAAGCAGCCTCCGCCTCCAACACAAATACAGCGGCCTCAATGTGACCACGACCGCTCTGTCAACAGCGACACGACATACAGAAAGTAACCACAAGCGAGTGTTGCTCCTTGTAAAGTACTATACAATGTACTGCATCTTTTGTACTCGCAGGTACATCGCACCCAAACCCAACACGTACGTGTTCTCGAAGGCGGTGGCCGAGGCGACCATCGCGCAGCGCCCGCGCAAGCACTACGCCACCGCCATCGTCAGACCCTCCATAGGTACGTCACTCTACCTGCCGTACACTCCACATAACGTACAAAAGTATGCTAAGATTACCCAGAAGTCAGTAAGGGGACAGTTAATATGTGCAGCAGTGGACGTCTTGGACCTGCAAGATGCGAGGGTGTGATCGTATTCGGTAGCGCCCTGTAGTTTGACCACATGCTGTGGATAAAGAATCTACACGTAATATGTTACTGGTTCATATCTCCAGCAGTGGTAACTATGCGGGAGCACACAATACATCTGTCACTACTCTCAGTCCGTTTTTGTGGAGACTTCTGCAGTGCTCTCTGATAAACCTCCGTCGTCTAAAGAGAGCTCCCCAATCCGGGTATTAAGCGTCGACGCTATGGCTACTTATAACTCCCTGGTGTGGATGCCTGTAATCCACCATTTAACGCAATATTGTACGTGTAGTGGTATCCTCCCACCGGCACCCGTACCCCGGGTGGATCGAGAACCTGGCGGGCCCCAGCGGCGTGGTGGTGGGCTGCGGCAAGGGCCTGGTGCACGCCTTCAACCTGGACCTGGCGGCGCGCGCCGACCTCATCCCCGTCGACATCACCATCGACACCATGCTCGCGGTCGCCTGGGAGATTGCTACCGACAAGTGCGTAACTATTTATTATGGTCATCTATATTTCTATACAAATTACTTCAAAACAATGTTTTTAAACATGTGACTAAGTTGTAATTGCATGCTCTTTGGGTATACCATTCTCCGGCACGACTGGGCAGCCGCACAGAGACCCGTTGTGACCCTACCAGAGTGTTGTGTGCGGCAGTGTGAACGAGGTTACCGGGAGTCACACGTCATCTCTCCCATCCCTATCCCTAATTCCCAAATAATTGCTCTACCCCCCCCCCCCCTCCAAATCCATTAAAAACTGAAACACTACATAATTTGTTTGTTTACGTCCCGACTACCCAGGAGTGAGGAGGTGCGGGTGTACAACTCGTGTTCACAACAGAACCCCATCACCTGGGGCACGTTCCGCGACCGCGTCGTGCGCAATGCGCGTGCGCATCCGTTCGACCAGCTCATGTACTACCCGTTCACATTCGGCATCAAAAACAGGTACTGTGTGTTTGTCTGTTGCAAAGTCTAATTCCGTAATACATAATCTATTGGTTGGGTACACACGGCTACTCAGCGAGCTATGACCAACCAGTATAAACTGACCGTCGTTAATGCTAAATCATCGTACAAATCGAGACCGCAATAAACTGGTTCTTATAGCTTGATATGTATTCGTGTGTATAATAACCAGGCAACTCTTAAATCATGGCGGCCGCTCGGCAGCCGAGCTACAATCGCGTCCCCCTGCTCCGCCCGCAGATGTTGTACTTGTATGAACCAACTAAGGCGCTACACATTTTAACAGAGACCCAGCAACAGCTCTCTTTAACCGACTTCAAAAAGAAAACAAAATAGTTCTTGGTTTGGCCTGGATTTTTGTGCGATTATTTCGCGACTGGCTAAACCGATTTTGATATGGTTTTCAGAAAAATGTTTGTACCACGTAGGAGAAGCTTTTAGTATAATAATTAACCTTCAAAAAAGTAGGGCTTGAATTTGGTTGTTTTAAAAGTAGTTTATAATTTATGATAAACTTGTACTTTTTAAATTGCGACCGACGCACTATCTGCCAAAACGTGAAGACTATGGCAAATTGTCTTACGTAGAGGATTCTCATGGCCGAGCAGTGGACTGTGTCCCGCTAGTATTGAAAGCAATATTGTATTGTGATAAAAGCGCCGCATCTCTCGCAGGTATGTGTACAAGGCCCTGGAGCTGGTGCTGCAGACCATACCGCTGTACGTCGCGGACTACATCGCGCGGCTGTGTGGGATCAAACTACAGTGAGTACACGTCTATTGACCTACAGATCACAGAGAATTGAGAGAACAGTTCAAACTGAACCGAAGTTACTGTCGTCACATTTGATGTAGGTTAACATATTTTTGAACGTCCTTGGTTACTGTTTACTTACCCACCAGATGGCGCTAATTTCTAATTTTGTGCAATCATTGCAACTGTTGAGGAATCTTATTGTTAATTCTCTCTATTGGATGAAACGTCGGGAAGTTTCCACTAACGCCATCTAGTGAGCAAAAAAATGGTAGCCCCCGTTGCACACTAGTAAGTTCATTGCGTACAGAAAGAAAGATCGTATTGAAAGTGTTCCTGTACCAGACTGAGCCTGGTGACTGTCAGCGAGCGCCTGCAAGCAATGAACCGCGTGCTCGCGTTCTTCGCGACGCGCGAGTGGTACTTCAGCACGCGCAACGTGCAGGCGCTGCGCCGCCGCCTCACGCGCGCCGACCAGGACATCTACAACCTCGACGTCACCTCCGTCGAGTGAGTACACTACCGCACTATTACATTCACTCGTCTCGTAGTACAATATGCGCTAGCTGACGTGGCAGTGAGTGGGTCACATAGCATGGAGAACCGATAGAGGATGGGGCAAGAAGGTTCTTGAATGGAGTCAGCCGGTCGATCCGACCTAGGTGGAAGCCATGGGGGAGGACTATCTGAGGCTGCCAAATTTGGAGATGATAGCATCCCTAAGATACAACGTTTAAGTGCCGAACTAAAGGGACTCTGCGTTCTACATATACAATACCTAATATAATAATATTATACTAAATGTATGCCCACAGCTGGGACGAGCACGTGAGCAACTTCGTGAAGGGCACGCGCAAGTTCTTGCTGAAGGAGAAGGATGACAACATCCCCCGCGCCAAGAAGTTTGTCGAGAGGTCAGTAGTCTGCATCTATTCACGAATCACTTGATGGTAAGCAATCAGCACCGCCTATGGACACCAGTACACAACATCAGGGAAGTAGAGCTCGAAGCTGCGGATAGAGCGCAGTTATTGTGGCTTCGGCTCGAAGCAGTTGTTGGATCCTTGGAACGGGGTGGTACTAGGCGGAGTGGAGCGAATGGGAACTGAAATTTGTATAATGACATGGTATGATGTTCCAGACTGCGTCGCGTGCACCAGTTCGTGCTGCTGATGCTGTCGGTGCTGGTGTACCGGTTCCTCATGCTGCTGCTGCCGCGGTTCTTGTTCAGAAGCTCGCCGGTACTGGCCGGGCTCGCCGCGCCACACTGACGACATTCAGAAATGTTGGACAAGATACTAAATACGATACGTGTAGTACGAGGAGACTTTCATCACCATATTTACCTAACACCTAATCTAATCACCTATAACTCCTCCGGTGTTACAGTGGTTAAAGGACGGAGCTGAGCAATTACACGAGTCTTGCTAATCACCACTTTCCATCGCTGATGATCCTTGCCCTACATTTTAAATTAAGTGCCTAAAATAGGAATTAAAATATGTTGACGATTGGTCACACTGTATAAACTAAACTACTACTTATTAAATATTTGATTTAATAATGAAGATAATTATTAGACCATGAGCGTTTAAGACTTACCTATTCGGAAAAACTAAGTAAGTAGGTAAATATGCTAATATGATGTTGTAAATAAATGTTCTAATGTAATGTACTTATGTAAGATAATGGGTTTCATTAAAATATTGTAAGTAAGACGAGGGTCGTTTTATTTATGCACAACATTATGCAATGACCTCTAGTTCTAGTGAAACTAATAATATCTGCGAGAATCTAAAACAGTCGCTTGTTTTCAGTAATTACCATCATTAAATATCTGAATAATTGTAAATGTTATGCAACGATCATAAGTAAATGAAGATATGAACTCGGTAGGTAAGGAGAAAGACTTCGTAGGTTTTTTTGAAAAATATTACGGTTTTTTTGAAAAATACTAAATACTTATATTTAACGTGATTAAATAATAATGCCCATTGGTTTTTCGGCACTGATGTAACGAAAGAATTCGCCATTTGCATTTCGTAGGAAACCATGCATGCTGAGTACGCGATTTGTGTTTATCAAAAAATATTACTTTATTTCTGTTTTCCTTAATTTTTATTTATTCATTTTATTTACAAATGACTCTTAAAAATAAATTATTTTATTACAATAATTCCCAATATATTGAGAATGAGAAACGGAGCGTTATTTCCACTGATATGATAAGAGTATGGATAAGAAACAACTAGGAAAAAATCGTGCCTACATAAACTTCACTTGGTCACCCGTAATGGCGGATAGAACTAGGGATGTAACTTTTAAAACTGTAGAAATATCGATATTTTAGAATTGGTTTTAATTGACTTATCAATAAAATATCATTATTTTATGATTCATCTGGATTTAATTTTTATGTAGCTGCTAAACATTACCAACATATTAGCGAAATATATTTAGTAGTTGCTGTGTGCACTGTCACTCCAGTCGATCGTGCCTATACATTCACATCATAACTTTCACGATACTTATGTATCGAAATTCATGAAAAGGATTTTCCATCAACTGGTCAATATTTATATACTTAAGGTTAAGTAATTTTTGAGGGTTGAAAAATAAAACTGTATCAAAGTATTCATAAAATCAAGATTTATAATATACAATATCTTCGTATTTTTCGTAGTGTTTCCCTGTAATGTAATCTGCAAAACCATCTTTCGAGAAGACTCCAGAACTGGTTCCAAGTTCATTTTCATGCACATATCTGGCTAGAGGCTGCAACATAAATAGTATAATTTAACTTACTTGATCCAATTGAACATAGATTTTTCTATAGATTCTATAGGTACTGTACTAAGCTCTGAACGAAAATGTTTGTACATTACAATGATAGTGATAGATAGCGGAGGAAAACAGAAACATATAGGTACAAGAACCCGGTTAGTTATGAACTTAATATAAATGTTAAATAAAATGTTAAGTTTGCACCTCTTCAAAAAATGCTTCCAAAACTAATATAACAAAACACATAATGAATCGTTTACATTATGATTTACCAATAGAGCTTGTAGCGATAGGGCCCCATCACGTAGATTTACTATTAATTTATTGTTCGGTTAAAACATTAATCTTCAAAATAAAGTTAACAAACAAAGATATGTTTCCTTCTAGTATCTATATTTCCCACATTAATTATTTCCAGCCAAGAACTTCTGCGTGGTTCAAGCACAAACTAAAAAGAAAATTTATAATATTATTAAAATTATCGGCAGAGTTCGACACATTCTAATAAATACTCTAAAAATACCCTAAAGTTATATTTCATTGGTTTGTTTCATTTGAATCCGTCGAGCGGCATTTGATAAAAAAATCAATTTTGACAAAAATGCATTTCCCACAATATTATTCCTTATCTCATATTGTACAAAAATTATTCTCTATTGTATTAATTATTTATTACATTACGTAGGTATTGACGATGGTGGAATTTTGTCGATAAAATGAAATTTTTGACGAGTACTTAATGTTTTTTGTATTTTGTCATTATGTCAAATTAATGCACTTTATCATTCAGAATTTAGTATAGTTCTTTGTTCTACTTTTGACGCATTTATTATGTACGATAAAATTATCGATACGGGAACAATCATGTACATCACTATTTTTTAATGAAAATTGTTTTAGACGTATTTCAACTAAAATTAATGAAAATAAGCACTGCATTAGTTAGAAAAGTATTGTATTTAGTCAATTTGCAGCAACCACACTTGAATAGTTTGAAAAACAGAGATATTTTAATGAAAAATAACAGTACTTACCGATGTAATGTTACACCTGCCGGTTTAGTAATATTTTTAGTGCTACATCCAATAACACTGCACCCGGGCGTAGTTCTTCTCACTAACCAATAATTTCTTTGTTTACCACGCACAAAAACAACAGGAATTCTACAAATTTTCGTAACAAAATATTGTTGACCAATGCTTTGACAGCTGATGTACCACTGACATGCACTGATAACAGGGACTAAGATGGCCAATTCGGCACAACTAGGTTTTTCTGATGACGTCAAAAAATTATTGCCAGAATGACAATAATGTGTTGTCTCTTTCTGCACAAGCAAAGAGACATAAGTAAAAAAGAAACAACAGTATGTTTATGAATTTACCGTCAAGATGGATCCTAAATTCTACCCGTAGACAAAAGCCAGACATCTATGTTATATTTATAAATCTATGGTTATTTCGCACATTTTATTTATCTAGGCTGGCAAGTGGCAACATTAGAGAGAAACGTCAAATTAAAGTGATACAGAGCTGCGGACCCACTTTTATTTGATTATGATTATTTTTATTGTTAAAATAAGGTAAAAGTTCGACGGTTGTCTTGCAAATTATCGTGTGTGATATTGGGCTACACGATACGGCTGAGGTAAGGCGATGTGCTAACACAAAGAGTGTACAGTTCCGTGTATAATGTGTGCCTGTCATTGCATCGTTATTATATTATTTTTGTTTTGTGCCAATCCTGCTGAGTAATTTCTGGCTGGTGTGTTGTGGCGGTCAGCGGTCGGTCTGTCGGTGCGAAGTTGACATCGTGCCAAGTTTGTGCGAGCGGTGACTGTGTGGTTATTGCGTTGTTTCTGTCAGACTGCCGTATGGGTGTCACGCAGCGCTGGCTGCGAGCTGGTGGCCGGGGCAAGGTCGTCGCCTTGCACCCTCAGCCTCGCACTGGGTCGCGGCGGACAATGGTCGCGATGACTTGCGTTCTCTACACGTCCAGTGACCCATATAGTGGCGCTACACCAACACATTAAAATGCAATTAGTAAATAATTAGTTGTCGGAATAGTTTCGTGTGTGTACTTGTGTTGTGATAACAGCAGAGCATCACAGTGAGTTGTATGAACTGTTCAATAAGTAAACAGTGCACAGACTACATAGATTGCAGTTTTGTATTGCACTGGTACACCTTGAACCTCTCCTAGAGACTGGAGACTGGTGATGTATGCTGTACATGTTTCCTATTAGATGGCTGTCCCGTCACATGCTGGTGTGACATCTAAGAATATATTGTAACTACAATGTTGCACACTATTGTGCCATAATATGTACTGCACAGTTAGTTAGTCTCTGTTGACAGCTGTGATCCAAAGAGGCTCATCATTTATTACTGTGTACAAGTGGAACATCTACCTAGTGTTAAGACCACTGAGGACCACAAGATATTATGTCATATTGAAGAAAGTTTGAAGCACCCTTTGTCAGGAGACAAGAGACATGACATTGCAAGTCATACTGTTATAAATAGCAGAAGAAAATTTTGGCTAAAATTGTAGCGCACTGAAAGTTAAAGATGGTCCATTGTTGTAGTACAGTCAACATTAACACATTTAATTCAATCAATCCATATACAAGCACTTTTGAAACATCCAAATGTAACAGTTGTACAGTGAGGCTATAGGTATATAGGTGCTTGTACCAAAAGTGTAGATTCTTAGGAGAAGAACAAGCAAGAAACATTATTGTTACTCTTTTAAAATATATATTTTACTGTGTAAGCACGCAGTAGTGAGTGTAGTGAGTGTTAGTGAGTGTGCGTGTTGTTGCAGGTTCATGTTAGGTGAGTGTGATGATGTCTCTCAAGCCCCGCAACGTTGACTTCACGGAGACATGGGCGCACCTCAAGGAAACGGTAATAAACACATTTATTTTGTTGCATATTCATTTATGTACGTAAATTTAGATAAATGTTATCCTTTTACATTGTAATCTCCAAAAGTCTTGTTTGTAGGGGAACCTATATATAATAGGGGATAGCCTATCAGTCTATCTTATTGGCTGTTGATGATTCTACATTGGATATGTTATGAGTCCCATGTAAGAGTTGTGCTTGTTTCCAGTTGAAATAATATTAATTATTCTTACAACTGGAGGAAATTGGTGCCTGCATGGCGCATGTATTAGCAAATAATAATGATAAAGCAGTACTTTTATACATCTGAATAAAACGAAAATAAACATGCTGACTCTCAAGACAGGGAAATACAAACTCAGAGGTCACAATGTTTTGATTTCAAAATAAAATAAAGTAAAATAAATAAGAGATTCCAATAATAGACAAGCAACATTAACTACTCAATATACATAATTATAATTAAACAATATCAACGCTCTAAGATTAAAAGTATAGACGGGCACCATTAACAGTGTAGGTTGTCAAATAAAAACAAATTGTTCTGGGTGATCAACATGCCATGTCTTCAATAAATGGAAATTTTCAAAAATGTAGGAAGTCAAAATAGTGTTTAATTTTTTTAATAACTTGATTGGGAAGGTTTTTAAATGGTTTGCAAGTCATTGTTTTTGAGAAAGTTCACTTTACACAAATAACCTCTTTACTGTAATCAAAATAGAAATCACTTTAAAATAATAATCGTTGCACTGAACCCATTCCAAATGTTAATTTACTTTTAATTATTTTTCAAAATAATGACTATGAATGGTTCTATCACATTGTTACAAATTAATTTATTATTTAATGACAAACAAACAGTATTCATCTTTGTGTGGCGTTTGTGTATTTGTATATTACTCACGTAAATAACTGAGAGAGCTCTAGTAGTTCAAGTCATCTGTATAGTGTCATGTATATCAATCATACGGCGCTGCCTGGTTGCAGGTGGCGGGAGTGGTCGGTCTCCGCGCCGTGGAGCGCTCTGTGTGGAACACTCGGTTCTCTGACGTGTACGCGCTCTGCGTGGCGCACCCCGAGCCGCTGGCCGACAGGCTGTACGACGAGACCAGGAACTTCCTCGAGGAACACGTTGCGGGGCTCCTGCAGCGGGTGCGTGGCACCGCCGCCTTGGAGAACAATGACCATAATGATGGACTGCTTACTAGGTCAGTACCGCCTTTACCACGAGGGCACTCGGGGCCCGTGCGCAGGGCCCCATCCTCAGGGGCCCCGAAATACTGACAATTTCTACGACTGACACACACCTGCTATAGGGTGCTACATGTCGCGGGCTCGATTCCCGCACGGAGCAAATCTTTGGTGATCCACAAATTGTTGTTTAGAGTCTGGGTGTCACGTGTATGTGTCACACATACGACACAGGAGGAGACGAACCTTCCAAAATGGCCCCGAATTATTGTGTGCTCATGGCCCCCAGCATAGTGTAAGACGGCCCTGCACAAGGTGCATAATATGTAATATGTAATGTAAAATGTCAGATATAATTATTATATCTTGGCTACATAATTGTGGACTATCTTTATTTTGCTTAATATATGCCAATGTACAGTCTAACGCCTGTTTTCACTATTCTCTTATTAAAATTTTAAGGAACCGCTAATGTAGGTGATATTTAATGACATTATTTTTAAAGGAACAGGGTGCTTACTCTTGAAACCAATATCAATGCCATTTCAATCCAATAATTATTCAATGTCAACACTATACAACCCCTACCGTAGCTGTTAAAATAGCATTCAGAGTACGGAATATAAAGACAAACTCAATACCGTTTAGTTTATTCAATATCCGCACAATACGGATACAATGGGCGCTAGTGTTGCAACTCAAGAGTACGAAATTGCACAATAACAATGTCGATCGACCGGAATTGGATTCAAGAGTAAGCCCCGGAAAGGGAAAAAAGCTTACGTTTTGATTTAAATCCTATAACTAAGAGTAACACTTAATGGTACAAGTAAGGAGTTACTTTAAGTGCTCTCTTACACTAAGTAGCTCTTACTTAAAAAAGAAATGATGGGTATTACTGAAAACCCTATTATGTAAGAGATGCTCAAGATGCTCAGCTCACAGTCCACCAGTAAACTGATACCTGCTTTTTGAGGGGGGATAATTCTCCAATGAGTCTCCCGCCTGCGTGAGGCGAGAGAGAGTCAGACTCTTGCTGACTAAACACCACCACGTTCCTACTGCTGCATAGAGCCGGAGCTGCGGTATATATATATATATGGCGAACTTTGTCGCAACTAATGATGTCTGTATGTTTGTGCAGATACGTGAGCGCGTGGCGCGAGTACAGCCAGGGCGTGGCGTACCTCAACAGTCTGTACTCGTACCTCAACCTGCAACACGTCAAGCGCCAGAAGGTAACACTATACTCCCAGCCAACCTTCCTTGATGAATGGACTATACAGCAATAAGCGCTTTGCATCAAGCTTCCTTGTGTGAGCTAAGGAGCAGAATTCTTTGCCAGAGTCTGTATTTCCTGAAGGGTATAACCTGGGAGTCTTCAAGGCCCGAGTGGTTGATTATGGGACGACGTGATCCATCGTAGATCGTATCATCGTGCACCACCAGGCGAGATAGTGGGCAAACGTCGGCCCGTCAAATATAACAAAAAAAAAAAATGTAATTTGAACCAGTCAAAGTCAAAATCATTTATTTCAATTAGTCCAGGAAGGCACTTTTGAATGTCAACAAAAAATTTTAAAGTGAAGCTATTTGCTCATTCCAAGGTGTAAATTCCTATGTAGAAGAACGAGCAAAATATATGTTATAGTATATGCATAGAGTGTAATATTGTCGGGCAGGTGTCTGACGCGGAGATCATCTACGGCTCGTCTGCTACAGTCACTTGCCCCGAGCATGACGCGAGACAACTCGAGGTGAGACTTGTTATGCAATTATTACAACATCTATAGCGAAACATACTAAATTAATATAATATGACTTACTTATGTCATTTTTGGACGAAGCTCGACTAATGTCGAGCTGTACTGGAGCCCATAATCTTCGCTAATTAGTTACTCAAGCTTGTTCGTTAGTTTACACAGCTCTCTGGTACATTTGTGTTCAAAAGGGAACCTAAAGAAAATATTGTCTCGACATTGTTATAAGAAGACCAGTCTCAATACAGAAGATGGCGGGGTATAGAAATTAACAATCTAATTAGTCCGTCAATTAAGTAATGAATAGATTTTAGACACGTATGTTTTTATTTCGTCGTATTTAAGGAAACGAGACTTAGATATAATGAACCAAATTTTTGGAGTGGGAGGTAGCTACGTCATTTTTGAATATAAAACGTACATAGAAGTGACGTCACGCGATATTTCAAATCAATATATCGTCGAAAGTATATGTTTCTGTAAGAAAATAAAAAATACATATGTAATGTTCTTAAATAATCTACCAGACGGACATTAAAATAAAAATTAGTCATCTACCCTATTTTCAGTGATCGCTGTCTTTGTCAATTGCTTAGTCTCTTGGTCGGGTATACGAGACCCGCGGTAAGCGATGGTGATACATGTATACACTCTGCAGTATACGGCGTGTACACAGTGATAATATATGGGTGTATATCGTTGCAGGTGGGTGAGCTGGGGCTGGAGATCTGGGAGCGAGTACTGGTCAAACCACTGTCCGCAGCACTCACGGGTCAGTCGCCGGCTGTGTGTGTGTGTGTGTGTGTGTGTGTGTGTGTGTGTGTAATGTACAGTAAATGTTAAGCTATATAACAGCTGGTTTTTAAAATATTTTAATTGAAATATATTTGACACACAGGTCGCATAGTCCGCGGTCTAGCAGCGGCCCGGAGTTCGACTCCCGACCCGGCCTTCGCGTCCACCCTCCGCGAAGCGATCCGTTCCACAGTCCAGGTGCGGGCCTTCAGGGTGAGGGCGCCACTGTCGCTGTACCAGTCGCTGGTGCTGGAGCCATACCTCGCGGCCGCCGCCGCGGCGCACGCGCAGCTCGCCGCCGACCTGCTCGCCGGCGGCGACATCGCGCACTACACCACGCACGCCCTGGCCGGCCTGGAGAGAGAGGTCAGTCCGACTCATTGCAATAGTACTAGACATCGCGCACTACACCACGCACGCCCTGGCCGGCCTGGAGAGAGAGGTCAGTCCGACTCATTGCAATAGTACTAGACATCGCGCACTACACCACGCACGCCCTGGCCGGCCTGGAGAGAGAGGTCAGTCCGACTCATTGCAATAGTACTAGACATCGCGCACTACACCACGCACGCCCTGGCCGGCCTGGAGAGAGAGGTCAGTCCGACTCATTGCAATAGTACTAGACATCGCGCACTACACCACGCACGCCCTGGCCGGCCTGGAGAGAGAGGTCAGTCCGACTCATTGCAATAGTACTAGACATCGCGCACTACACCACGCACGCCCTGGCCGGCCTGGAGAGAGAGGTCAGTCCGACTCATTGCAATAGTACTAGACATCGCGCACTACACCACGCACGCCCTGGCCGGCCTGGAGAGAGAGGTCAGTCCGACTCATTGCAATAGTACTAGACATCGCGCACTACACCACGCACGCCCTGGCCGGCCTGGAGAGAGAGGTCAGTCCGACTCATTGCAATAGTACTAGACATCGCGCACTACACCACGCACGCCCTGGCCGGCCTGGAGAGAGAGGTCAGTCCGACTCATTGCAATAGTACTAGACATCGCGCACTACACCACGCACGCCCTGGCCGGCCTGGAGAGAGAGGTCAGTCCGACTCATTGCAATAGTACTAGACATCGCGCACTACACCACGCACGCCCTGGCCGGCCTGGAGAGAGAGGTCAGTCCGACTCATTGCAATAGTACTAGACATCGCGCACTACACCACGCACGCCCTGGCCGGCCTGGAGAGAGAGGTCAGTCCGACTCATTGCAATAGTACTAGACATCGCGCACTACACCACGCACGCCCTGGCCGGCCTGGAGAGAGAGGTCAGTCCGACTCATTGCAATAGTACTAGACATCGCGCACTACACCACGCACGCCCTGGCCGGCCTGGAGAGAGAGGTCAGTCCGACTCATTGCAATAGTACTAGACATCGCGCACTACACCACGCACGCCCTGGCCGGCCTGGAGAGAGAGGTCAGTCCGACTCATTGCAATAGTACTAGACATCGCGCACTACACCACGCACGCCCTGGCCGGCCTGGAGAGAGAGGTCAGTCCGACTCATTGCAATAGTACTAGACATCGCGCACTACACCACGCACGCCCTGGCCGGCCTGGAGAGAGAGGTCAGTCCGACTCATTGCAATAGTACTAGACATCGCGCACTACACCACGCACGCCCTGGCCGGCCTGGAGAGAGAGGTCAGTCCGACTCATTGCAATAGTACTAGACATCGCGCACTACACCACGCACGCCCTGGCCGGCCTGGAGAGAGAGGTCAGTCCGACTCATTGCAATAGTACTAGACATCGCGCACTACACCACGCACGCCCTGGCCGGCCTGGAGAGAGAGGTCAGTCCGACTCATTGCAATAGTACTAGACATCGCGCACTACACCACGCACGCCCTGGCCGGCCTGGAGAGAGAGGTCAGTCCGACTCATTGCAATAGTACTAGACATCGCGCACTACACCACGCACGCCCTGGCCGGCCTGGAGAGAGAGGTCAGTCCGACTCATTGCAATAGTACTAGACATCGCGCACTACACCACGCACGCCCTGGCCGGCCTGGAGAGAGAGGTCAGTCCGACTCATTGCAATAGTACTAGACATCGCGCACTACACCACGCACGCCCTGGCCGGCCTGGAGAGAGAGGTCAGTCCGACTCATTGCAATAGTACTAGACATCGCGCACTACACCACGCACGCCCTGGCCGGCCTGGAGAGAGAGGTCAGTCCGACTCATTGCAATAGTACTAGACATCGCGCACTACACCACGCACGCCCTGGCCGGCCTGGAGAGAGAGGTCAGTCCGACTCATTGCAATAGTACTAGACATCGCGCACTACACCACGCACGCCCTGGCCGGCCTGGAGAGAGAGGTCAGTCCGACTCATTGCAATAGTACTAGACATCGCGCACTACACCACGCACGCCCTGGGCTCGCGATGGCGGGTGGGGATGCACGTTGGGGTTGCTGCGAGAGTGGAAATGAGGCAAATTTACAGGAAAAATTTCTGCTGTGTTCAACTTGCGGGAGGTCTTACCACTACTTCTGTATTTCCATTAAAGAACCCCCTAATAACATTAGCGCTTGGAAATGTCCGACTTGTATGAGTAGTGCCCCGAAAGTGGGCCGAAGCGATTCAACACCAATACGTAACGTCTCGATGAACAGGGGCCCTAAAAGGCAAGCCATTGCCTCACCGTCTCCTCCCTCGTCGTCAAGTAAGGAAAATGACATTCGTTGTATTATAAAGGAAATAATAGGTGAAGAACTTAGCGAAATGTTAGTCAGGATAAATGAAACAATTGTTGGCACTATCAGCAGAGAATTGGAGCCGCTGAGGTTGGAAATGCAGGGAATGCGCGACTCAATGTCCTTCATGAATGAAAAATTCGAGGAAATAAGGAAGAAACAGGAAATCTCAAATGAGCGTATTATGAATTTGGAAGCGGAAAATGCGGAACTGAAGGCAGCAATGGGTGGCATGAGCGAGAGATTTGTCAACTTGGAACAGCAGTCCCGTTCAAATAATTTAGAAGTGCAATGTGTACCTGAAAATAAAAATGAAAACGTATACAAAATAATAACACAACTGGCACGTGTAGTCAAATGCGAAATTAGTGATAAGGACATCCCTCACTGCACACGTGTTGCTAAGTCCAATTCTTCCAGTACTCGTCCCCGCTCAATCATTGTTCAGCTGGCATCACCAAAGCTGCGTGATCAACTACTTGCTGCAACTATACATTTTAATAAGTCAAACCCACAAGAAAAGCTAAATAGTAGCCATCTTGGATATGCTGGACCTAAATCTCCGGTATATGTTGCAGAGCACCTGTCACCAACTAACAGAGCCCTGCACGCAGCTACTAGGATTAAAGCAAAAGAAATGAACTACAAATATGTGTGGGTTAGAAATGGCAGAATATTTGTGAGGAAAAACGAGGGCACCGAACATATTCAGATTAGGAACAATAGTAATCTAAGTAGAATGGTATAACATAGGATGATTTATGTTTTTGTTACATTTTAGTGCAAGTAATGATCAAATACTTATAGAATTCAATGATATTTTAATTTATTATCAAAATTGTAGAGGTTTGCGAACGAAAACAAAATCTTTTTATTGTAATTTGTGTTGTCAGAACTATGATATAGTAATATTAACGGAAACCTGGTTAAATAGCAGTGTACTGAGTGGTGAGTTGTTTGATGGGCGATATGAAGTATACAGGAGAGATAGGGAGACGGCGGGATTTACAGGTAACAAGGATGGTGGTGGAGTATTGATAGCGGTGAATAAACAGATTAACTCGTCACGTATAGTACACTGGGAAAGTAAGTGTGAAGATCTCTGGGTCACTGTTGATATATCGCTCTCTCAAAAACCTGTTAAAATGGCCCTTTGTGCAATTTACCTACCTCCGCCTGTGAGTCCGGCAACCCTCGAGCATTTTGTCGAACACTGCAACAAGTTTATAGACTCAACAAGTATTCCTACTTGCATTGTCGGTGACTTTAATCAGGGTAAAATCAATTGGGATTTAAAGACTATTAATGATTCTCTGCCTAAAACTAGCCAAATTTTGGTGGATTTTGTAAATATGAGTCACCTGGTACAATGTAATCACGTAAAAAATTATTCTGGGCGCGCATTGGATCTGGTGTTGTCTTCGGTGTCTAACTGTTCGGTGAGGGAATCGAGTTCCTCTCTGACGGTCATCGATAGACTCCATCCACCCCTTCATATAACCCTTTCATCGGTTAATAATCGTTGTCTGCCGTATAATAACTCCATTCCTAGACCGAATTTCTATAAAGCAAACTATAAAGATATTAATGGTTATCTTAATGATCAAGACTGGCGTGTTCTATTTAACAATTGTAATCATGTAAATGACATGGTAACTATTTTTTACGAACATTTGTATGAAGTAATTAAAAAATTTGTACCAGTAAGAAAACAAAATAATAGTCGTTACCCACCATGGTTCAACAAAATAATGATAAAATCGTTGAAGGAAAAGAATAGGTTGAGGCTACGCTTTAAAAAGTATAAAAATCCTATGGATAAAATCGAATTGAATTTAATCTCTAAGCGTTGTGCAAAATTAGCCAGGACCTTGTATAATGATTACCTTAGAAATTTGGAACAAGGTATAAGAAGTAATCCTAAACTTTTTTGGAGTTATATAAAAGCTAAACGAGGTGGATCAAGTGCTTACCCACAGACCATGACTGACGGACAGAATGTAACCTCTAATGTTTCTGAAATCTGCAACCTTTTTGCCAAATACTTCTCGTCCGTATACACATCTGACAGTGGGGAGGAGGTGGATTGCCAGACAGAGTACTTACAGACTCTGAATAGCAACGGTCAATGTTTGAGCGCCCTAGTAATTGACCATGACTGTCTGCTTAATAAACTAAAAACAATTGATATCACCAAGGGGCCGGGGCCTGATGATATCCCACCAATATTTATTTCTTCCTGTGCAGCGGCACTGGTTTCTCCTCTGATAATAATTTTTAATGCATCGTTAGCATCAGGTACTTTTCCTTCGGAATGGAAAAAAGCAAGGGTTGTCCCAGTGCACAAATCTGATAGTAAAAACACTATCTCAAACTACAGGCCCATTTCAATACTTTCAGGTTTTGCAAAGATTTTTGAATCTATTATATGCCCGTATCTTCAGCGTCATTTTGAAATATACCTCAGCGACCATCAGCATGGTTTTGTAACGGCAAGATCTACTGCAACGAACTTAGTAAGTTTTACGGAGTCAGTAGTTCAGGCAGTAGATAAAAACAAGCAATTTGACGTAATATATACGGACTTCAGTAAGGCGTTTGACAAAATGTCTCATACCATACTAATATATAAACTTTCAGCTTACGG